AGTATAATGCTATAATAAATTTTTTTATGAAAGTAGATTGCTATTTTGTGCATTTTGCCATTTGTTTTAATATCTGTTCTTTTTTTGGCATTCATTGTGTTACTAAACGAGATAGAAAGATTTGTTCGTGATATCTCTTGTAACCGATAGTTAAGGAAGGATGTAACAGTGCCTAAAGGTGTCAATAACGTTTTTCATAAACCTTATATAAACACAATATAGTACCTTTTTGACCTCTAGATACGCTATAAAACATTCAAAAATTGTCTGGTTTTCAAATTTTAAATAAGAAAAGCATTACAAAGGACACACAATTGGAAACGCATTTTGTGCACCAGTTACGGAAATAATTTGTTACTAACTATTTAGTACGTTTTCAGCAGCGTCCCTAAACGTTACATTTAGTAACTCTTTGTTTCAAAACCTTCTTTCAATATTATATTCTAGCAAGGCTTTTGTAAAGCGTATATAAATGTTATTTTTATCGTCACTAAAAGTCCACTTATCATCACAATGGTTTTAGCGACAACATAGCGTCGCCATAGCTTGTGGCTCAAACATGTAATCAATAAAGACATGCCGTCAAAACTCACTTTTCTAGCAGTATGGTTTAGTCTTCCTTGTCTAACAGTGTTTTCAATTACGTTTTTCGGTTTAGAATACGAATTTCATTATTTCTCTAGGAAAGAGTTTTATTTTATTTTCTATTTTGCGTATGATAAAAATATGTAACATAACAGCGCACATAATGGTATAATATATGATATGGTTGAAGATGGTCATAAAAACAATTACTTGAACAAAAAAATTATACGATCCTTGGGTTGCAGGATTGCGTTAATTTTAAAAATCTTCAAGCTAACCAACCGATAGCCCAAAATCGTATATGCGACACATAGGAAGAAATCATGGAAATTGAAGTAGAAACTAGAATCGATTATAACCATATAACAGAGATGGGTAAGATCGATGTTTTAAAAGATCTGAATATTACTTTATATAAAAAAGAGTTCTGATTTGATTTTGGCAAATATGGCATTCAAAAACCGAAAAGGTCTCAATGCAACGAATTTCCCCTAATCAAGACTAAAGGATAACTAAAATTGACACAACAAAATTGGATTTATAGGACACCCCCAATTTCTAAGCATCCTAATAGACCGCTTTATAGGACTTGATCTATAGGACCAAAATATAAAGTATCATATCTAAAGATGTTGTAATAAGTTTATATGACACTTTTGGGCGTCTTAACAAGTTTTTAGAACATTTTTAATACAAAGTGTCACATCAACAACTTTATAAGACACTTTTGAGAAAGTGTCATATAAACTCAATTTTTTATAGGACATTTGTTTTTATAGGACAATTTTTCAAATAGTATCTTATAAAGTTGCTAATGGGACGATTTATATTAAAAGTGTCCTAAAAAACTTATTACAACATCAAAAGATGTCATATGAACTTATAACAACGCTTTTAGATAGGACGCTTTAATTTTTTGGTCTAAACTAAGTTTTATAAAGAGGTCTATTAGGACACTTAGAAATTAGGAGTGTCCTATAAACCTGATTTTGTTGTAGTGTGATTTGAAAGCTCTATTTGCCAAATGTAAAATTGATTTAGCTTCGTGACAAACGAACATTGAATGACACTTATAAATAGAGGCATGTGTGGTGGCTTGAGTATCATGGGTTACGCATGCATGTTGTATAATTAATAGACTGAATCGGTATTCGTTATGTAAAAAACTGCAAATCGACATGAAGGAGTACTACGTGGACACGTTTATGAGTTCATGACAATTCGTTTTGTTTTGTGGTGAAGAAGTAGAAAATTCAACAAAAGCCAAGAATGGCTCAACATGTACAACTTATATACGACAAATGATGAGATGTGCCCTAGCAAATATCTACAGAAAAGTCATCTCGGATTGCATGTGTCTATTACTTAATCATCTTACCTATAGAGATAAATTTAAAACGATTTGCAACGTGAAACACAAAGATAAATGAATCGTTGTTATTAACGCTCTTTTTTGCCAAACCCGAAATTGATATGGTTGGTCTTGCCTGGCCACAAATGGCACTAGATAATAACGCTTTTAAAAGTTAGAACCTAATGGAATGTCTTACAAGTTGCGTATACGTACATAATAGAATCACAACTAATTCTATAACCAGATATCATAAATTTGGTGGATTAAGTCGATAGAACATATTTCTTTTACTGTTCCTTCGTCATACAAAAGGATGTGATAAGATAACAATTGTCTGCATCAACTACAAAGGCTCAAATAAAGACTAAAATCATGTATGGATAAACAAATCAGACGAAGACACATGTTAAAGTTAGATGGTATCATTTAATGCAATAATGGCTATAAAAGGGCATCCTTGTCTTTCATTGCAACTCACTCATTTTGACAGAAGTTTTATGTGATAATTTCTTAGGAAAATTTGACGTTAATATAATCATTTTGCATGTTTGTTGGTCATATAAACTTCCAAGTTTTACCACTACATTAAAATCGGGTTTATAAGACACTCTAAAATTCTAAGTATCCTAATAGACTTCTTTATAAGACTTGGTTTATAGGACCAAAAAAAATAAATTGTCCAATCTAAAGATGTTGTATTAAGTTTATATACCTTTTTTGATGTCGTAATAAGTTTTTTAGAACACTTTTAGTATAAAACGTTTCATTATCAACTTTATAGGACACTATTTGAAAAATTGTCTTATAAAAACAAGTGTCCTACAAAAAATTGATTTTATAGGACAATTTCTCAAAAGTGTCATATAAAGTTGCTAATGCGACACTTTGTATTAAAAATGTCCTTAAAAACTTGTGAAGAAGCCCAAAAACGTCATATAAACTTATTACAATGCCTTTAGATATGATGTTTTATATTTTAGTCCTATAAAGCGGTCTATTGGGACACTTAGAGATCGAAGGTGTCCTATAAACCCAATTTTGTTGTAGTGTACTAAATATCATACTAAATCATTTTAAAATTATCATTTTGTTGAATAATGTTTTTTTGTTTGACGTATAATGTGATCTGAGGAGATATTAATGTTTTTATGTTAATATTAGTTTAGTAATCATATAATACAATTACATATCAGAAGCAACGTATATGATATTTGGAAAAATTGTTGGAAGCAAGTGTTGGACGAAAAGATATGAAGCTTTGTTTGGCTTACCCGGTTATCAAACGGAATAACCCAAAATCAATTAAACCAAACCTTATAAGTTCAATCATTGGATAGTTTGGAAACTTCTGAGAAACCCGTTAAGCCAACCAATTAACCAGAAAACCAATATAACCAACAGAATAACACCGCTAAGTGTACCAATTATTCTAAAACATCATACATTTTAGATCCCCGCTTCCATCTCGTTGTACAAAATCTGGGTTTAGGTTATAGGAATTTTATTCTATGTTTTAATTTTTCAATTTATATTTAATATACCCTCTGCTTCCATCTCATTGTACAAAATCTGGGTTATTATAGGAATCTCGTTCTAAGTTAGGGTTTTGTTTTTACTTCAATTTGGTATCACAATGAACCAGTATAAATTCATCGATCTGCTTGAGATATTGAATATGTTGGCACTACAACAAAATTAATTTCATAGGATGCTTAGAACGTCTAAGCATTATTATAGAATCCTTAATAGAATCTAAGTTTATATAATCAAACTACAAAGCATCATATTTAAAAATGTTACAATAAATTTACAGTACGTTTTTAACGTTTTATAACAAGTGTTCTAGAACGCTTTAAACATGAGTTGTTATCTCCATCAATCAAACATCATCTTTCCATCAATCAAACATCATCTTTTACGTAAAATAGAATAATCTAGAAACTACTTTATACATCAAATGCATACAAAGAATGGTATAAATAGACATGATTATATTAAATTTGGATTTTTATTATTAATATATAGTAGAAAATATAAGGTGTTCACCGAACATAGTCTCTAACTGTCGTTTACCTATAAGCGTTTACTTAATGTCATTTATCTTAGCAGGTGAGCATATGACAAAGACCAAAAATCTAGCCCAGTAAAAATCATAACAAAGGACTGAGGAATTTTACCTGATAATGAGTTGACAATTACCTGATGACTGAAAATTTTACTTGGTAAGATGAGTAAAATTACTGATTTTTGTCGATAAACGTTTCTCGATAATATTTTATTGTTATGGATGATGACACATGATCATTTTAAAAACATGAGTTTCATAATTTGGTTTAAATGCAAAAGACAATAGACTTTAACAAACTTGTTGGAAAAGCAAAAAATAAATGTACATGAATTTTCAGTTGACAAAGTGGCCATTAAATGTTGCAGTCGTCGTGTGCACAAATATGACCACAAATCATGAACTCAATTAAAAATAAAAATACTATAAATTAAATGACATCCGATTTAACAAAACCAACCAAAAAGAGAGAGGCCGATGACTCGTTAAACCACGGTCATCAGCCAAAAAAAAAACAGAACGAGAACCAGGCAGCCTAACAGCTATTATTTAAGCTGTTAGGATGTACATTCATATTTAAATGAGATGTATAATATCTATATAATCAAAATAAGGTAATCGTCTGTAATAAAATATACTGTGAAAAGAGTAGATTAGTTTTTGCTTTTTGTTTAGGGCTAATCAGAAAACCGTCAACATTCAACCGGCAAACAATCTAATTAAACTCAACCTTCCAACCCATTAAACTGTCAACTAATATGGTTAAAATGGAGTCACGTAACCACAAGGGTGGTGCCTGATTTGTTTGAGCTTGGCTCCAAATGTCAAAAGTACCGGGAGGTCCCAGGTTTAAATCCAAGGAGGAATAAAAATCCCCTTGTGGCCATGAAGGTTCAAATGAGGTGACTCCGGGCTATCTACAAAGTAGGTGGTCGTCATGGGATTAGTCAGCTCGAATAGCAGGTTGGATATCCAGGTTAAAAAAAATACAAAATATAGAAACCAAACATATGTATATATTGACTTTAAAACAAGTTTTATAATACAATAGTGTTCGTTGCTTAAGACACATAGAAACCGAAAGCAAATGAGTTGATTCGTATACATGAAAAACAATAAGAATATAAAATACATGTTCAATCGCTAGAATTAAACCAATCTTTGCTCTCAGAATTTCTTGTGAAGGCGTAATGCAACAAGAACAATAAGCAGAAGATAAGCGATGCTCCCAGCGAATGACATAAAAAGAGCTACGACAACCTGGTGGCAAAATTTATCGAACACATTACACACCTTATTCCATTGCACATGTGAGTTGCCGAGGAAGCCGATCAAACCGACAGAGCCGGTGGCACCAATGGCGGAGAACAGCAACGCCACCACCACCAAGTCTAAAATGGTTATCATCAATGACATATGCTTTCGTCCGCCTCTCGTTGCCAAAATAAGGATCAATGACATGGCGGCATAGAAGCATGAAATTGCATTCGCAATCACAAAGTACCTGTTAATAAAAATTTGATGTTTAGGAGAGAGAGATTTCATCCAAGTTCATATCTATTGATTATTGTTTATATAACATGGCACTACAACATAATTGGGTTTATAGGACGCCAAAGAGGTGTAAGTGTCATAATAGACTGTTTTATATGACTTAATTGATTATAGGAACAATCGATAAAATGTCATATCTAAGAGTGTTGCAATAAGTTTATAAAATGTCTTTTGGGCATGTTAACGAGTTATTTTAGGACATTTTCAAAATAAAGCATCGTATTAGCTATTTTATACAATATTTTTTGAATAAAAATGTACTATAAAAAGATGTGTTTACAGGACATTTCTCAAAAGTGTCTAAAATAACTTGTTAAGACGCTTAAAAGCGTTCTTTAAACTTAAGACCTATAAAACAATATGTTAAGACACTTACACATTGTTGACATCATATAAACCCGATTTTGTACGTTGTTGACTGTAGTATTGTGGTTCGTCCATGGAACATTCAAGAACTGTAATGATAGTGGTCTCTTTAAATAATTTCAAAAAATGACGAGTCGATATATGAAATCAAAATTAACCATGAAAAATATTATTTCTATCAAATCGTTCTACGTCGATTCCTCTCGTTTCAAATCGATGTGACATTTTTTTGTCTATTTCTTTACGTGAATAGATATTTAGAGAGAGAGTACTTACACAAATGCAGACATCTGAGTCCACTTAGCGGTGACGGGAAGGCTGAGCGGCGGCAACGACGGAACAAGTGTGATTGTGACGTTTGCGGTTTGCTTATCGACTCCAACAAGGACGGTGGCAATCAGAGTAAGTGCAAGTGCTAAGAACCTCAACACCAAATCCTTGCGATTGAAGCTTGACGTTGTTTCATTCACCACCTCCACCTCCTCCGCCTTCTGCTGTGACTCCATATTCTCCGACGTCGACTCTTTTCCTTAATTGGTGAAAGACGCAAATGGTGAAGAATTTGTGTTCAAGTTCCATGGTGATGGGAGTACATATATATATGCGCTCTATTGCGTGTTCGTACCATTCTACCAAAAAAAAAAAATGTAGACATTTTAGACCATCAAATTGCTCAGGTGTCGTGTTGGAAAAAAAAGATGCCGATGTGACACATTTTTGTACCCAATTGTGAGTGATTATTGCATTTGTAATAACCAGGATCGTTATTTAACGTGTTCAATTTTTTATGATTACAAATCCGGACTTACAAAAAGATCGGAATATGAATTTTGATTTTTGATTAACTTGGATATCCAACCTGCTATGCAAGCCGACTAATCCCTGGCGACCACCTGCTTTGCAGATAGTCCGGAGTCACCGCATTTGAACCTCCAAGGCCACAAGGGGATTTTTATTTCTCCTTGGATTTGAACCTGAAACCTCCTGGTACTTTTGACCTTTGGAGCCAAACTCAAACCAATCAGGCACTACTCTTTGGATTTTTTTTGGTATTAATGTTAATTTAATTTATTTAAATGCCGTATAAATTAGAGGTGTTTGGATATGCATTTAAAGTGGTTAATTTGACTTCTAATAAGTCATAAATATACGTTTGCATTATTAGATAAATATTGACCTAATTATACTATTTATTTATTGATTAGTAATGACTTTAAACGATTGACCATCTTCTATTTAATACTCGTTCTCATTTTTGGAGTCGTAACGATCATCTTGAAAGAAAACATTTTGATGGGGTATTATACCGAAACCCGAACTTGTAATAATAGGTTTTAATATACACGGTTTGACGAAATTGATTTTGAATTTGGTTTTGTAGTTCATAGGGTGTAGATGATTAACGTTGTCGCCCAATCAGACGATCAACACACAACAAGTGTGTTTCGTGCCCTTTAAACAGCCACTACAATAAAACTGATTTTATAGGATTCTTAAAAATATCTAATTGTAATAATATAATATTTTATTAAACTTAAGTGTCATTTAAACCCATCTTTTTATAGGACACTTGTGTTTTGTTAGACATTTTCTCAAATATTGTCATATAAAATAACTAATACGACATTTTATCTTAAAAACGTCATAAAAAAGTTGTTAAAACTTTTAAAAACATCTTATAAACTTATTGTAACATTTTAAAAATTGACGTTTTTTTTTCGTACTATAAAATATTTTATTATGATATCAAGACAATTTAGACGTAATATAAAACTAATTTTATGATGAATTTATTAAAAACACTATCTCCAATGTAATTATATGTTATCTAGAGGGTAATTTTGTCATTTCAAAATATTCTAGTGTTAGGTATAAATGTGATTTAGTTTTTTCTTCATATTCGTCTTATAACTTATGTTTTGGCACCAATTGTCATCTTTATTCGCTATAACAAAATTGGGTTTATAAGACATCTTCAATCTTTAAGCATTCCAATAGACTGTTTTATAGTACTTAATTTATAGGACCAAAATATAAAGCATCTTATCTAATGGTGTTGTAATAAGTTTATATGACACTTTTAGGCGTCTTAACAAGTTTTTTTAGGACATTTTTAATATAAAGTATCGCATTAGCAATTTTATAGGATACTTTTGAGAAATTGTCCTATAAACTCAATTTTTTATAGAACACTTGTTTTTATAGGACAGTTTTTCAAATAGTGTCTTATAAAGTTGCTAATAAGACGTTTTATATTAAAAATGTGCTAAAAAACTTATTACGACATCAAAAAATGTCATATAAACTTATTGCAACGCCTTTAGATATGACACTTTATTTTTTTGGTCCTATAAACTAAGTCCTATAAGAAGTCTATTATGACGCTTAGAATTTAGGAGTGTTCTATAAACCCAATCTTGTTGTAGTGAGTGTTATCATTAAAACCGTTATTGGTTTGTACATTCACCATGGTATCATAGCAGATGTATTATTGTTGATATTTCTATCGATCACTACATAGAATAAGCTATAACGAAACCCAAACCTCGTTCTTCTTTTTCCCAATATAAACCCATGTTCGTAACCTATTACAACTCTTGTTATTTCTCAATTCCGTTTGTTTCGTTTTGTTTTATCTATTCAGCAACGGATTGATGAGTCTTCAATTTAGGGTCATCGTGATTACGAAATTATAGATGCCCACCAACTGATCAATGAAATATCTAGGTGTTGTTGCCATGTTGCGTCTTTACTGTCTTGTCTTATTCGGTCATTGCTCGGACAACCATAAAAAATCTTTAATTCTAGTCTCGCAGTTATACAGACACTCGCTCTAGCCCTGTCACCTCGAGTCTCCTTTTAAACAACCTTCATATTGCATAACGAAACTCATTTTCAACCTTACACCATCTATGCATTCTCACATCGTCTACGCCTTCTTGTTCTACAACAAAATATTCGACATTGATAAATAAATCTATCGTATTAATTAGTATATTGTCTTTGTTAACTATTTCACTTAGGGGCCATTTACCAAACTTTTACCGAGTAAGCATTTATCAGGCATTAC